AGCGCAAGGCCCCAAAGGCCGAAGACGCTGCTTTACCGCCGCCCGAGAACGACGGTCTTCGGACGGCGCGGGGAGCCGGCCAAAAGGAGAAAAACACCGCCCCACCTAATTCGGCAGCCGCCGCCATCCCCCAGCAGCAGCAGCAGCCGCAAAAGGAGGGAAAGCCGCCAAGGGCAAACCGGCAGCAGACGGCATGCCGCTCGCCGCCCGCACGGCCGTCACGTCGCTGAAGCGCGCCATGTACATTGGCGCGCACGTCTCGGGCGCCGGCGGCGTGCAGAACGCCATCGACAACGCCGCGTCGATCGGCGCCAACGCGTTCGCGCTGTTCCTCAAGTCGCAGCGCAAGTGGGCGTCGCCGCCGCTCGCCGCCGACGCGCGCGCGCAGTTCGTGTCGCGCGCCGCCGAGCACGGCTACGACGCGGCGGCGCACGTGCTGCCGCACGGGTCGTACCTCGTCAACCTCGCGCAGGCCGACGACGCCAAGGCCGAGCAGGCGTACGGCTGCTTCGTCGACGACCTCGCGCGGTGCGACGCCCTCGGCGTGCGCCTATACAACTTTCACCCGGGCAACACGGGCGGCGCGCCGCGCGCGGCCGCCTGCGCGCGCATCGCGGCCCAGCTGAACCGCGCCCACGCCGCCACGACCGCCGTCGTCACGGTGCTCGAGAACATGGCCGGCGCCGGCAACGTCGTCGGCACGCGCTTCGAGGACCTGCGCGACGTCATCGCCCTCGTCGACGACAAGGACCGCGTCGGCGTCTGCATCGACACGTGCCACGCCTTTGCCGCCGGCTACGACATGCGCACGCCCGACGCCTTCGCCGCCACCATGACCGCCTTTGACGACATTGTCGGCCTCCAGTACCTCAAGGCCCTGCACCTCAACGACAGCAAGGCCCCGTTTGACTCGCACCGCGACCTCCACGCCAACATCGGCACCGGCTTCCTCGGCCTGCGCGCCTTCCACTCCATCGTCAACTATGCTCCCTTTGCCGGCCTGCCCATGGTGCTCGAGACGCCCATCGACCGCAAGGGACCCGACGGTAAGTCGGTCGAGGACAGGCAGGTCTGGGCCGACGAGATCAAGCTGCTCGAGAGCCTCATCGGCATGGACGCCGAGAGTGACGCCTTTGCCGCCCTCGAGCGCGAGTTGCAGGACAGGGGTGCCGGGGAGAGGCAGAAGATCCAAGACCAAGTCGACAAGAAGACAGCCAAGGAGACGAAAAAGGCGGCGCCCAAAAAGGCGGCTGCCAAACCCAGGGGGCGGAAGAAGAAGGAGGAGACGGACGACGAGAGCGACTGAGCGCCGCTCGGGCCCTGAATTTCATGTGTACCATGTACGATATCACGTCTGTATTGTATCCAAAGCGGTGAAGAGGGAAAATGAAGACCTTTACAACAGATTCAAAACAAAAGAACGATGCTGGTATTATGAGAAGGAGGAGAAATCCAACGCCGTCATGCCTCATTCTAAAAAGGAGAAACCGAACAGCCTAGAGGCTCATCGCCTCGCGCGCGCGTGCGCTTCAACCTTGCCAACCAGGCTCTTGAGCCCGACACCCCTCTCGCAGTTCTCTTCGAGCCACGCCTCCATCCTCTCTCTGACCTGCTTCAACCCCCGGAGGATGGGCATCTTTGTCCCTCCTCCACGTCGACGAACGACCCCGGGTTGAGCAGCAGGTCAAAGCATTCTCCCCAGATCTCCGTCTGCCAGTACCGCTTCAGACTCTCCTTGATGCGGTACCGCCTCCCTCCGGCGCCGATGCCGCCCTGATCGCACCGTACCGTTTCAATGTATCGCCCGAACAGGAGGCAGTAGATGACGCCGGCCAGGCCGTGGTAGTCGATCTGCCAAGTCCAAGGCCGCCCCTCGCGCATCTCGGCGCAGTCGTGTGCCCCTGTCTTCCAGTCGGCGACAAACTGCGTGTCGGGCCCAAAGTTGCGCATGTCGATGCCCCGGCCGAAATCGATGAGCACCACGCCCCTCGCCGCCCATCCACCCGTGCCGTCGGCGCGGTACTGCGTCGCCAGGGGCGCGGCATTGGCGGCATCGCCGTTGTCGAGGCGCAGCAGGCAGTTGTCTGGCTTGAGGTCGCCGTGCAGCACCCCCCGCGCGTGCAACGCCTCGATGGTGCGCAGCAGCTCGATGGTGAAAAACATGCCGAGCTGCTCATCCATGACAGCTGAGGGCTCGGCACGGAACAGGTTGACGACGTCGAGCAGCGAGCCGTGCGGGTGCAGCGGCAGCAAGAGGAAGCCCTCGTCTTGGTAGAGGTGCATCTCGTGGGCGTACGTTAGGGAGGCAGCCGCGCGATGCTGGGGGCCTACGCGAGAATGTGCGAGGCGGATCATGTGGAACTCCCATGCACTGGGTGGCTGCTCCATCTTGAGCGCCTCGAGGGTGCCGCGTTGGCGAACGGCGAACGCTCCTTTGCCCATAACCGCGACGGCGTTGTTCTCTTGATCCTCGTCCTCCTGATCGGCCGTTGAGTTTTCGACGAGGTAGACGGGAGCGAACGCGCCGGCACCGAGTTCCTTGCGAATGGTGTATGTCGTGGGCGTGTCAGGGAACTCCACTTCGACGACGGAGAAAGCGTTGCTCGTCCTCTCGCCACTACTCCTGGCCTTGGCCATGAGCTTGGCTACTTTGCGAATTTCGGATCCCTTTCCATGCTTCTCTGCCTGGTGGTCGAAGAATCCGGCATAAGAGCTCAGTGGCGGGTGCATCTTGGCTAGAATTTCATTCCGCACCACGTCATCCACCGGGTTGCATTGAGGATCTGTGATGATGGGTCCTTTGGGAGGTATCGTCTTCGCGCCGAGAGGCTTGGGCTTGGGCTTCTCCAGTATCGGCTGAGGCACCCTCGCGGGCTGCGCATCGTTATAAATCTCCCGCAGGGGGCTGCTGAACAGCTGATCCGCACGGGCGCCATCATCATCGTCCGACTCCTCGTTGTCGTCCTTCTTGGTGGGTGACATTTGCGGCCTACGAGCTGTCAGGACACCAAGCGAGGATTCCGTCCTCTCTGTGATGGGCGTCATGAAGGGGAGGCGGTTGTTGGCGGCTTCGACCGGGTCCCGATAAGGCCGCGTTCTGGGCTCATAATCCTCTGGCGGAATCGGGACGAAGACGGTCTGCGTCCTGGGCGGATAGTCTTCGTCAATGGGAGTCTGCAAGTCGTCATCCACATCGTCGTCCTCCTCGTACAAATCGTCGGTCTCCTGCTCGTCCTCCTCTCGGGGTCTCGTCGGCTCCCGCGATGAAGGCAACGAGTCCTCGTCTTCATTGATATCAATCAAGTTGGACACCTGCGTGTCGTTTGACTCCTCAACTTCGTTGGCCTCGTTAATGTCGGGCACGTGTCTCCGAGTCGAAAAGTCAGACCATTCGCTGACGCTTTTCACATCGGATGGCTCATCGTCGTCATCCTCGCCGGCTTCACTTGTGTCGACTTGTCGCGTCGTCGTTATGGTGCTCTCTGCCCCGCTTGTGTAGTCTCCGTCTCCATCCGTCTCATAGTCGTCTTCGTCACTTTCGTCCTCATCCTCTTCCTCTTCTTCCAGGGGCTGGGTGGGCTTCAGAGGCTGGTTGAATATCTCGTAAATGTCATCTGTTGCTGCCTTGGTATGCAGGGTCATTGTGGGCTCGGCGGTCGCATTCCTCTTCTTGAGTTTGGTCGGCTTTGACGGCGAGTCCAGGTTCGCTTTGACTGAAGCTCTTGTGTTAGTGGTCTGCAATGGTGTTTGCAAGGGTCGCACCTACTGATTTGGGTTTCGTTGAACTCCATCGTCCTCATCTTTTTGCTCTTGCCCTTCTTCTGGATGTTTCCATTCTCGTCCAAGGTCACCGTTTCCGTATACACGGTCAGCTTCTCCTTCACCATGTGGCCGAGGTTCTCGACATCATCTTCGGGCAGCGTGTCCATCATGACATCCTCCTCCCATGAATGGTCCAGCCAGCCTCTGTTCATCGCCCAGACTTCTTCAAAGCTCAACTCAGATCCCGGCAGCTCTGGCGCCGGGTAGACGGCCTCGAGGTCAACAAAAACGCGCTCACGTTTGCCGCTCACGGGATTCACCACAACCTGCTCGGTCGAGGGCACAAGGGTATGTGTTTCTGCTACTTTTGGCTTGGACTGAAAATACAATAAACGCCAAAAGGCCCATCCATTAGTCCTAATTTTCATCAACACATGGGCTTGGAGAGGGGGGGGGCCAGTAAGGAAAAACTCGCGAGACGTACCGTATCCTTGAAGATCTGCATCTTGGGCGCGCTGCTCTTCTTGCCGCCCGCCTTCATCGTCTCGCCCACCCACGGCTTCGCCTGCATGACGTTCTCCTTCTTCCGGTTCGCGAGCGAATCAATCGTGTCCCAGCCCTCGGAGCTGGCCGGGCGCGCCGACAGCGCCGACGGTTCGGCAGAGGCGTCGGAGAAGATGGCCATCTTGGCCTTGCCAGGCTTGGCCGTCGGGCCACCAACGCCTTGGCCGGGTTGTGGCGCCTGAGGGTTTTCGGCAGCAGCGGCGGCCGCTGCGGCGGCGGCGTACGGGTCGACCTTGGCAGCGAGGGCCGGTCGCATGGCGGGCAGGGCCGGTGATGAGGGCGCGGCCGTTACCTCTGGGCCCTGGGCGGCTTGCCTCTGCTCAAACTCGTTGAACTTGCGCATCAGGCGCTGCTCGGGCCGGGCGCCGCGCTCGATGCCCAGCTTGTACACCTCCTCGGCCTGCGCCCAGCGGCCCGCGCTCTCGAGCCAGGCGGCATACTCTTCGTAGAACAGGGCGAGGCTCTCGCCAATGTTGTGGCGGGAGATGAAGAGGAAGGTCTCGCGCGGCGCGTCGGCGAAGAACTGGATAAAGAGGATCCACAGCTTCAGGTAGCGCGGGTCATTCTTGTACTGGGCCGATGTGATGAAGGCCTTGGTGGCGCGTTCGAGGAGAGTGTGTAGCTGAGACTGGGGCGTCGCCTGGGCAGAGGGGTAGGCGTCAAAGGTCCATCGAACGTAACGGTCGTAGACATCGAGCGGGTCGTCTGATTCGGAGATGTTGGCGATCTCGGCTTCGTACTCGGCGCGAATGCAATCTGTGACGTTCTTGCTGCCTGTTGGTGTTGGTGTTGACAGCTTGTGGAGTGGTGACGGGGAGAAGGCCTCGGCCAGCTTCTTTGCGGAGCGGCCACTAGGGAGGGCCTGGATGTTCTCCTTCTGGGCCTCGATGATGTCGAAGTTGATGAGGTCTCCGGAGGCTGCCATGGTTAGTATCGTGTGGGCATATCCTGGTGCTGGCGGATTGGAATGGTGTTGATGCGAAATGCGAAATGCGAAATGCGAAGGATGCCAGATGCAGAGGGCAAGGCAGGGGTAGAGTTAGAAGGTGGGGTTGTTGATTTGGGAAGGGTCGTCGTGTTGATGCGGGATGACATGTGTCATGTGTTGTGGCGTGTTGATAGGGCAACGAGCCACACTGGCCTCCCCATCCCTTCAGGACGGACCAGGAACGACCTCAGGAACAACGGTACGTACTGGGCGCTCCAGGTAACCACAATGGCAGAAACCAGCTTCCAGACCAGTTATACAATATCGCTCAATCGTACCATAGTAGATGAGAATCTTGGCGTTTAAGATGGCTCTTTGGCTCCTTGGCTTGAAGGATTGATTGAAAGCGTTCTCGGCGGCAAGGGACAAGACTATCAGCACAGATGGCATGCCGACGTCGAGATCTTGACATGATGGCGGCTGCACATGATTGGGATAGTCTTGGCTGATGGCTAGCTTCATTGCTGCAGAGACTTGAACCTTGTATCGACCGGATTAGGAACCCAACTTTGGCATGCAAGAGCTAGCATACAAGATCGAGGCTGAAGCAGTATCGCACCTCATCGAATTCCATTTAGCAACCAAAGGAAGAATACAAACCAGGAGATTCCGCTACAGCTGTCGCAGATCAATCTGAAATGCTTCATTATGGGCTGGCAGCCAGCGAGATAGCCATGCACAAATTGGAATCACGAGTGTCTGCCCTGACAAAGCACGTCTGATGGCCAGACTATACCCTGGCCATACTCAGCCTGCTCTTTCAGACCAGAGCGGATGTGTTCACGATTATCACTGAGTCAGCAGAAATAGAGCTAGATCGGCATCAGTTGCACGCTGAGCATACTACAAGCTGTCGCCGTGGCTCTGCGAGCGAGGCAGCGATAACGAAGGCCGATCAAGCTAGATGTAGGCGAAAGGGGACCCGTAGATTTTACATTGAGACCACATGCCGAGAAGGGCATGACGAAGCACTAGACATATGCTGAGCAAGACACACGCCGAGGGCACTCCAAGTCAACAGCTCATCTTCTACAGCACGTCTATTCCACAACACAAGCCACCCTACAGCTTGGCCACGGCGCCCTCGCCCTTGCGGCTCGTCTCCACTAGCTCCCACGCAAACTCGGCCAGCGGCGCCCTCGTCTCCGAGTACTGCTTCGCCTTCTCACTGCTGGCCTGGCGCCGCGCGTACCGCGCCGCGATGCCCTGGCACACGGCCGACAGGCGGAACACGTTGAAGGCCATGCCCCAGCCGAACTCGGCGGCGGGGTCGTACCCGGACACGTCGGCGTACCAGCGCACGACCTGCGTGGCGTCGGGCAGGCCGGGCGTCGCGCCGGGGAGAAGCCCTTGTGCGCGTTGACGCCGTCCCGTGACGCCGTGAAGAACTGCGTCGAGAGGTTGCAGAGGTCCGAGAGCGGGTGGCCGACCGTGGACATTTCCCAGCTGTTCACACGAGGGTCAGCGTTTCTCCTCTCCTCGCACCCCACGAAAATTTAGGAAAACTCACTCCAGGATTCCCAATCACCCGCGGGTTCCGTCTTGTGAAAGACGAATATTGTCAAATCTTGTAGTCGCCGTGAATCAGCGTGCCCCGATTCGCGCGGCTGCCGCCTCGCGTCCTTGAAGAAGTCAATCATGTCCCTGAAATGCGGCAGGTCGCCGACGGGCTCGTTGGTCTCGACGTCGACGGCGCCAGCCTGGCTCGCGCAAATGGTGCTCCACGTCTGGATCTGGCGGTCGTAGAAGCCCGTGGCGCGACCAAAGGACGCGAGCCCGACGTCAGCGGGCCGTACGCGGTGCAGGCGCGCCAGCGTGTCGACGGCGGCGTGCCACAGGGCCTGGCGCTCGTCGGCGCCGAGGCCCGGCATGGCGGCGTCCTCGAGGATGCGGCCGTCGAGGAACTCCATGATGTAAAAGGGCGTGCCGATGACCGTGTCGTCCTCGCAGAGGCAGTAGGCGCGCGGCACGGGCACGTCCGTCGTCTCGAGCGCGTGGATGATGCGGTACTCGCGCTCCACCTTATGGGCGGCTTTGGAGAGGAGCTTGCCCGGCGGCTTCTTGCGGAGGACGTAGCGCTGGCCGTCGGCGGCCGTGAGTTGGTAGGTGGGATTCGACTGGCCGAAGCCGAACTGCTGTGTGTTAGAAAGGTGTTGCGCAGAAAGACTCGCTCTAGGGCGACAGGAACGAAGAAAAGCTTGGGTGAGGGAGGAGGATGTGCATACCTGCTTCAGGTCGACAGGCACCTTGATCTCGGGCACATTCTGTTCAATGTACCGCTCCAACGACTTTTGGTCGATGGGCTGGCGCACACGTCCTGCCATGGTCGGCTCGGTCCTCGTGTCGACGTCGACGACGATACTGATGCAGGTTGCAGGAGGAGGAGGATCGCTGACGATGCTGACGGGGAGATGCTGAACTTGGATAGGTATGCCCTGGAAGATGGCTCTGGGCGATTCGAGAGCTACTGGGTAGAGAAGGCAAAAACAGAAAGAGAAAACCAACCCCAATTGACCTCTCCAATCAGGAGCAAAACCAGGACGTCGGGTTTACATACCGAGCGGTCCCCCGGGTCTGGCTGGTTCTGGGGGTCGGGGTCATTGAGGGTCGCGCGGGGGATGGAGGGCATTCGGCGCGAACCTGGGCGTGCCGAGGTCCCCGCCACACTACCAATCTGTGGGTCGGATTTCGATAGCCGTACCCGCAGCCGGCCCCTCTCTGGTCGTTAATCCTCGGTTTACACCTACTCCTACCACCTGCTTTGGTTGTAGTGAGTGTAGAACAGCACTTAGAAGTGTGGACCAGCACTTGGGCTATAGCACTCCGACTGCCATGTAAGCAATCCATTGAAAACACGACCATGTGGTCGTTGAGCTCCGAGCAGGAATAGACAGCCATGGAGCCGAACTTCTTGCTAGGTTCATGACCAATTTGGAGACGAGGAGGACGGCAGCGGGCAGTCGTGGGGTAACATCACAACCAATGGCGAACCATACACATCAGTGAAATGTTGTTCTCATAGCTAACTACAATAAGTACTGCCCAGCGTTGGGTGCCGGACCTCTGTCTATCTCCAACAAACCAAATTCGCGCCCCAGACGCACGCTCGTACTGTTGCCCATTTTGTTTTTTGGTGCTTTTCTGTTGCTTGTCGTCTGGCCTTGTCTCACCTCGAACAGTTGACTGCGCTCGATGGCGGGTACATGGCCAGACTCGAAGTGGCCTTGGTGGCCAGACCACAGGCTCCCTCTCGGCCGGCCATCGCTAAGCAGCCGCCGCCTCCCGTTCCCCCAAATGTACTCGACAAGAAGTGAAGGTGAGACAGAAGCTCCAGCGCGCACGCACACACACACACACACACACAAGGTGAAGTAGACGAGGGGGGAAATACGAAAAGGATAAAGAAAAAAATCGAAAAAGGGGGAGGTAAACGGTCAAACAACAAGGGGGGGTATCCGTCATTTCGCGTCGTCGTCCATGCATTCTTTCCATCCCTGCCCTTCCCTTGCCTTCCCCGTCCTGTGTCCCACGTCCAGCCTTCAAACGACGGCCGGTGCGATGCTGTTGCCAGTCGACTAGTTGTATTAAAGAGAAAAAGAAGTGAGAAAATCAAACTTGGGTCCAAGCCACATCCGAACAGACGGAAGAAACGAGATCCCAGACGCGTCCTTCGAGGCGTCGTACCATGCGCGTGCTCATGCACTCGACTGCGTAGCGAGACACACCAAGGCGCATCCGCGCCGGAAAAGACCGTGTCTGCCCAGGCGCCCGCCATGATATAAAGCAAGGTGCAGGCGAAGGAGGAGAGAATTTGTCGCTCAACGTTCCTGGCCACCGTCGTCATGTCGTAATTGCTGACAAAGAAGATTGAAAAGAAGTATTGCGCTGGCTGACAACTATGTTCAGCTCTCGTCGTCCTCCTCTTCCTCTTCTTCCGGACTGTCAGCCTGTGCCTTGACTTTTTTGTTGGCGCCGGCATCGGCGGCCTCTGACTTGCGCTTCGTACCAGCTTTGGCAGCCTCTTCCTTGACCGGTGCATCGCCAGCGGGGGCACCACCGCCACCAGCCTTGTTGCGTTCGATCTCGGCGACTTCATCGGCGGTCAAGAAACGACCACCGGGACCGCGAGGCCTGCGCATGGCATGGTTATGTCTCGACTCGTGGAGGTACGGCTTGCGTCCTTTCGACGTCAGCCTGAGCTGCTCTTCGAGCTTCTGTCGCGCGACGCGTCTCTTGAGGATGCGGTGGAACTGCTTTGCGTTGACGTAGAGTGGTGACTCCTCAACACCACCAGCGGCGAGCTCGGGAGACTGGGGATGCGCCATGGCGGACGCTGGAGGCAATTGCGGAGCGGCGACTCCAGGGCGTCCGACGTGTCCCATCATGTTTTGCGCCTGATTAGGCATGCCGGGACTTGTAACTTGGCTGAGACGCCGTTGGCCGGCGAGGTTGTTCATCTGGGGTGACCTAGGCCCGCGAAGATCCTTCTTTTGGCCACCCATCCTCGGCGAGGTTTGGGGCATGTTTGGGTCGGAGGACATGTAGGGATAATTAGACTGTCCCGATGCGGCGGCGGTCGCAGCCATAGCTGCGGCCTGGATGCCAGGCATCGCATAGTGCGGAACGTTGTATTGTGTCTGGAACATGGCGGGGTTCTGGCCCTGGGCGGACTGCTGCTGCTGCGTAGAGAGTATGGGGGAGGTCTGAACACCGTGAGGGTGGATGTTGTGGTTTGTCGGCGAGGTAATGTTGTTGCCGGCTGCCGGATTAGGGTACCCCGGCTGAACGTGTCCCTGCTGATGCGCGTTCTGTGGCTGCTGTGGGTATTGGGCGTACTCCATCATAGTGGACGTGCCCTCGAGAGCGGTTGTCTGAAGAATACGCGACGGAGGCGCAATGTTGATACCGAATGGTTCAGTGCTGGTAGGCTGGTCGCGATGTGTTTGCGGCACCAATGGGAAGTCGATGTGGGGTTGTTTCGGGGTCGCGAGACTGGAGTGCAAGATTGGGGGTGGGTGATGAAGGGCAAATGGCGAATGAATTGACGGCAGAGGGCGAAGGACCCTGTTTAGGAGGAAAAGTCTTTATACTATTGGGTGTGCGTGTCGCAGGTCTCCGTCGTCACTTGGGGGGGAAAGAGATTCCCTTGGGTCGCGGTGAGCCTGGCGTGTCAGGATGGTGAGGCAGGTTGTGCGGTGCGGTGGGCAATCTATTGGATGTGCGCTTGATGTGTTGGCAGGCGTGGATCTGTT